AGGAAATGTAATTAAAATGGAAAATTCTCTTCTTTTCATTTTTGGCAAAATTAGGCCAAATTCCCTGAACTACATGTATAGTATATATGAGCTATGACCTGATTTTTGGGTAACTTAAAAAATTTGTAAAAATTTGATTGGAAACTTTCTACAAAACATAAGGATATCAATGTGTATCAAAAAATGCAATAAAAATTTGAGGTGATTTTGAAGCTACTTTTTGGAAAAAAGCAAATTTCAAGAATAAATTATTATTAATAAATAATTTTATTAATAATAACTTGGGGTAATTTTGGAGCCATAATTCAGAAAAATTCCCCATACTATAGTATAGGATCATTGGCTAAATTTCACCAAAAATGAAAAGGAGAGAAGTCTCTATTTTTATCATGTTCTTATGTTGTGTAGCAAGTTTAAGCTGATTCTGATCAATAATAGATTTTTTTTACAAATTTTTAAAGTTACTAAAATTTGTCAAAACATAAAAGGACAAACATGTACATATATACATACACTTACTGTGTGTCCTAACCTTGTTGTATTGGTACCAAACACACAGCTGTACGAGAGACCAGAGGAGGTGGGGGAGGGGCAGGATGACGAGCGGAATAACGTACCTCAAGATACTTTGAGTCTCTGGGAATGTGTCGGGTAAATGAAACACATATTTTCTATCGCCACTCTAAAAAGTGAGAGACATGGAGATAAAGGATTAAGATAAGGAATGGTCAGGCCAGCGAGACTAAAGGATTACATGTACATATTTACTTTTGATGTACATTACATGTACTGTACATTTAGACTATCTCATCTGTTATTTTGCTGTCATTAGTAACTCCATCATAAAACCAGCCCCTCCCTTGTCATTCCTTTGCAAAGTTTGCATCCGGTTAGCTTGTTCTTTGATCAATGGCAACTAAAACCAGTTCTTGTTCCTCTTCTCTGAGTCTCTTCTCTTCTCCTTTGACTATTGGTAATGCTCATTAACTATCTATGTATCATTGAATATGATTTTAGATCAACTTATTAATGTGCTTAATCTGTTGAAGAGATGTGGTTTCCCTCAGAGGAGATGGAAGGAACTAGGACTGACACTAGGACTACACAAGAACACACTGGACGCAATGGAAGTCACTCTTCATGGTGATGTATTTCGATGCTTGCTTGAATGCCTCTCCCAGTGGTTGTCCAGAGCTGATAATGTTGACAGTAAAGGAGGAGCTACCATTAACTCACTGTCAGATGCTCTTAAATCTATGAATGAGACTGCTGCAGCTGACAAGTTAGATCAAGAGAGTAAGTTAATATCACTGATTGTATTAGTATTGACTGTGTGTGTGTGTATTATAGAACGTAATGCTATG